CCACTAGAGTCGATGGAAAAAAAAAAAAAAAAAAAAAAAAAAAAACTCTCAATAAGGATGCAAGAATGCACCCATAAAAGTATTCTTACATCAACAAAACTATTCTTCCATGGATATCTTCGGAGAACGAACTTTGTCAAGAAATTCTGAAACTTCCTATCGACCTTTATTAGTTTTAGCTCGTTGAAAGTTTCCAGTTCTTTCTATACTAGAACCATTTTAGACCGTCTCCTGAAAGCCTACTTGTGAGATCCCACATCGGTTGGAGAAGAGAACGAAGCATTCTTTATAAAGGTGTAGAAACCTCTCCCTAGTGGACGCTTTTAAAACCTTGAGGGAAAGCTTAGACGGGAAAGCCTAAAGAAGAAAATATCTGCTACCGGTGGACTTGAGCTGTTACAAATGGTATCAAAGCCAAACACCGGGCGGTGTACCAGTGAGGACACTAGGCCCCCAAGGGGGGTGGATTGTGAGATCCCAAATCGATTGGAGAGAAGAATGAAGCATTCCTTATAAAGGTGTGGAAACTTCTCCCTTGGAATGCATTTTAAAACCTTCTCGGAAGGAAAAACCAAAAGAGGACAATATCTGCTAGTAGTGGGCTTGGTCTATTACACTATTGTCTACAACCACCACAACCAGCAAACTCAATAGTCAATCCACGCCAACAGGCCTGTACTTCTCACTATTGATTAAAAAAAAGAAAAAAAAAGTTAAATACAACCCTAGGTTGTCCCTATAGTCATATCCTCTAATAGTGCTATAAGTGTATAGGTATAGATGGGTCTGTTAGGGCCTCCGTGTTGTATTCTCTGTAGGCGGGCAGGTTGGGGATCTTGACCACCTGCAGGGAGATGCTATGACTAAGCATTCTCAGTTTGGAGTTGCTTCTTCCAGGCTTTCAATTTTCATTTAACTCGACCTGGAGGGTGTAGCTCTTTGATTAAAGAACTCTTGCTTCACCTGCACTTTCATGATGGGGGGCGTTTTCTGTGGCTAGCCAAGGTTTTCGTGATTTTGTGAGGCTTTTGGGTAGGAAGAAATAACAGAATTTTTAGGGATTGAGAGACCTAAATAGGAGGTGTGGTCCCTTGTTAGATTCCACATCTCCCTTTGGGCTTTAAGGCCTTCATAATTACCCTGTTGGTCTTCTTTTGTTTGATTGAAGTCCCCATTTGTTTTAGTAAGCCTATTTTTTGTGGGGCCTTTCTTGTTGTAGGCCCTTCGTAATCCTTCATTTTTCCTCCATGAAAGGTTTGCTTTTCTCATAAACAATAAAAAGTACTATGTGTGTAGATAATTAAAACCTCTAGCAAAGTCTGTAGGTTCACTTATTCCCACTAGAGAGACAGATGGTGTCGCATACTCCAACTATCTATATCTCAATATAACAGAAATTTTATGCATGCTGTCTACAACCACGGACCACCATCAAACTCAATAATCAATCTACATCAACACACCAGCACTTTGATCTATTTCTGAGTAGACAACAAACAAAGTCAAATATCATAACGGCCCAAGCTCACTGCTAGCAGATATTGTCCTTTTTAGGTTTTCTTTTTCAGGCTTTCCTTCAAGAATGTTTTGAAGAAGGTTTCACACTCTTATAAAGAATGTTTTGTACTCCTCTCCAACTGATGTGGGATCTCACAATCTACCCCCCTTTGGGCCCAGCATCCTTGCTGACATTCGTTCCCTTCTCCATTCGATGTGGAACACCCCAATCCACCCCCTTAGGGCCCAGCGTACTTGTTGGCACACCGCCTCGTGTCCACCCCTTCGGGTCTCAACCTCCTCGCTGGCACTCGCCCTGTGTCTGGCTCTGATACCATTTGTAATGGCCTAAACCTACCTCTAGCAAATATTGTCCTCTTTGGGCTTTCCCTTTTGGGCTTCCCCTCAAGGTTTTTAAAACGTGTCTGCTAGGTAGAGCTTTCCACATTCTAAAGAATATTTCATTCTCCTCCCCAACCAATGTGAGATCTCATAATAAAATACCATCTAGATTTATTCTTTTGCCCTATCCCAATAACAAAACTGTAGTGTGTAGGTAAATAAACCCTCCAGAAGGGTGCATACATATATCTAATGTTACTATTGCCCAGTGATTCGGATGGATCATATTATTGTTGGCCAGTGATTCTGATGGATAAGAATGACTTGTCTCGTTTAGATCTTGCCATCAGTGAAGTTTAGCACGAACTATCCACAAGCACAAGCAAATTCAATAGGCAATCCACATCATTGGACTAGTACTTTTCACTACTTCTGATGAATGCAGCGAACAAGGCCAAATGACGTTTAGGTTCATTTTTAACCATATCCAGCGTCTAACTAGAGCCGAGCAGATGGCACCCTTAATCAGTATGAATACCGTCAATTTAAGAGATACTCACTGGTTTCGAAAAGTTTCCAACGACAATATTGGTTTACTCCGACTGTTCATATGAGAAGATTTATAAAGTTGAATTCAATCTCAAGACATCTCTAGGAGGGGGGGTAGCCCTGGACATTAGCCATACTGAAGAAGTTACAAAGAGACTCGATTTAACGAAAATAGAACAAATACCACAATTACAACTAATTTTTTGGGGGACAACGAACCGAAGACCAGCAATTCCATGTATAAAACCAACTGACAATTCTTCTTCTTTACAAAAAGTTTTCCATTTACTTTCTGGCCAAAGTTCCCTAACAGAAATACAATCTCCCAACGGAGGACAAGAAATCTCTTCTTTGGGTGCTACGTTTTCCATGCATATCCAATTGAACAAGAACAAGTGTCATAACAATTCTTTCACCCCCTTCTCCATAACCAAACTAAAATATCTGTATTATTATAGTCGAATTTCAAACACGCATTTCTCTTTTGCAATGAAAGTTTACAGCTAACTATCTATTACTGAGGACACAAATCCATATGGAAATACTAAAGGAAACGCAATAAAAGGGCTAAATATCGATGCAGTTACCTCAAGAAATGCCTTCAAAATCCACAAAAACGCTAGCATTAGTACCCCATTGACAGAAAATCCCACCTGAGAAAATCAACTTCTAATGCAAAATTGACTAACCACAATTCGTAGATAAAAATTTAATGAGTAATCTTATTTATGAACAAGAAAAAAAAAAACATCTACCAGTTTAGTAGGGATAGATTGGGGAAGAACCGATCTCACAGCCTTCCTGGCTCGCTTCGAGACCTTCCTGAAAACATTCTCAACAAACCGGACCAATAGATCCAAACTTCTATCCTCTTCCTCATTTTCCTCATCCTCGTCGTCCTCGTCGTCCTCGCCACCGATTATGTCGAAATCGGAGCTAATCGAGCGGTTCCAATTGCGCCGATCGTCCACCAAATGATCAACTCCCTGGAAGAGATCGAGCAGATTGAGAACAAAAACACAGGAACAAAGGTGAATAGACGGGAAGAGAAATCCGGTGGACCTGAGAGAAATTGGAGGTTCTTCTGGAAGCCCGGAGGAGGGTGTGAGAAATTTGCAAGGAATGGGAGAGAATCGAGGTCCGAGAGGTTGGTAATGGCGGCTGAGAATAAGGAATGGAATAGAGGGACGGCGGTGAAAGAGCGGCAGGTAAGGACATGATCAGCTGTGGAAGAACAGCAGCCGTTTGCAGATGCTTTCGTTTTTTGTTCAGCAAAAAACGATGGTTGACAGTTGTTGAGGATTATATTCATTGTAATGGCCCTAGAAGTTGATACCATCATGAACCTGTTCAAAAATATCTTTTAATATAAATAAAACTCGGATTAAAAAGACCCCGTTTTAATCTAAGTTTTAAAAAAAATAAGTATAACTATCTTATGCACGTGTCATAGTCTAAAATTGTAATGTCTTCGTCAACCATACAGGAATGTCTTGTCTTTATCTAAAAAGAAGTAGCATACGACTTGAGTATTTTTAGAAATACTTGGTGAATGACCCCTGACCCCAATAGCGTTAAAACCATCATAGGGGTGGCTTTCAGTCCTAACAAAATTAGATGGGTAGTGTTTCCCTACACAACCCACACGTGTGAGTATGGATCCCTAAGCAGTTTGCACCCCACCTGAACCCATCATAGTCGAGCTAGCTATCTGTAGCAACGTTCGGAGGTCAGCAGACCTCAAGTGTCATGCAAGGTATGATCATCATCACTATCGTAGAGTACGTGTCCATACTCATTATCATAAATGGGGAGTATCCCAATATATATGAACACACAAAATGCATGAAATCCATATAGTTTTCACCTTTAAATCATCTTTATGATACAACCCTATACATCGTTCACACCTTACTCTAAGTAACATGCACGCATTTGCCTTCATACATTCATCATTATTAACATTAACTAGGGTTGTGTTTTTGAAAACTTACCATCATAGTGCATCGTGACATTTAAAACGTGCACATCAAATTAATATGGAACATCATCATATTAAGTCATTTCATCATCACACGTCTCACATCATCTTGTTATCATGGATCAACATCGTGTACGTCATCATATAATCATTCAAGTCATCATGTCATCATTTACACATCATTACGTCATCATATAACATCATCTCATCATCATTTAATGTCATATAACATCATCATATAACATCATCATATGACATCATCATTTAACGTCACCATGTCATCATACATCATTGTCACATCATCATATAACGTCATCGCATTTTCATATAATATAAAGCATAAGTGACACATGCAAGGGCCACTAGAAACGTATCAATCATACATAAGACGAATATTCTAATCAAGCCGATAATAAGGTCACTTATCTAATTAGCTTAAGCGGTTGTCACTAATTTATCCTTAGTGAAAGTTCGATTATGCCCTTTATAATCCAAATTAATCAATGTGAGCCTACGTCAGTTTCAAATTCGAACTTCTGCAAAATTATTCCTCTAATTTACAATGGTTCACGTGTTAGATTTCATGCTAATATTAGAGATTTTGCACACATAAAGTCTTAGAATGTCTATATATGCTTGTTATAATTAGAGGTTTTGATCTAAATAAACTTATTTCTTTCGGTATTTGTCCACAGACATTGAAAGCCGAAAGAAGTCTACTTTTTGACTTATTGTTCGATTATTGTAAGTTTTCTTAGGTAACTCTTCTCTTTAGTAGTTTTCTTCGTTATTTCAATCTTTATTTCAATTCTCTAAAGTATTTCTTAACCATCGTATCCTTATGAACACTCTCATTTGGATGTGGTCTCAGATATCACATGACAATTAGCTATCGCTTTAGTTCATCTCCAAACCATATTTTATTGAGAGAGGTACTACTCTAACAATTTTTATTGGAAACATTCCTCTAATGAATTCCCTGGGAACTTCTATAGTAAATGGACTATACAGAATTGTGATCAGTCAAATATTGCAAAGCCCCGGTATCTATTACCGGTAAGAATTGGACCATAACGGAATTTCGGTCTATACCGACACCATAATATTTGATTGGGGAGGAAGATTAGAATTAGAGATTGATCGAAAAGCAAGGATATGGGCTCGTGTGAGTAGGAACACTATTTGTAACAATCCATGTCCAGATTTGAAATTTGAATTCTAAATCCTGATCCGAATCCTAGGCATAGGTCGTGAAACCTAAATTAGGAAGAACATTACACGATATGATTAGCAACTTTGTATCATAGTTGTGAACTGTCAAAACTGCTCGATGAGACCTCTTAGCTAAAAAAAGAAAAATGAGATGGCAAAATGACGGTACAATAGGTTGGACAGAAATCTCGGAGATGGTTAATTTGAAATTTAATTAATCGACAAATTAAATAATAAATAATTTTACTAAAACTCACAAATTAAAACAAAATAGGGGTCCAATGTTTTTTCATACATATGTTTTCATTCCTTTTTGTGTGAAATTAGGTTACTAACCCTAATCGCACTTATTCAAGAATTGGACTAAAGTTTTGGATCAATTTATTTAGAAAATTCAATGATTTAAGAATATCTTCAAAAAAATTACTTTTCTCTTGGAGCTCCAAAATTGTCAGGACAAAAATCTGATCAAACATCCGGATTCTCTGCGTAAGAAGTTTCATCAAATTCCCAGCTTGATCCGCCATTACCGGCGGCGAATTTCCATGAGAGGGCAGCATTCTCACCCACCGAAGCCGGTTTTCGCCGGACCTGATGACGAAAACGAACCGGGTCGTTCTTATCTCGCCGGAACGAACGCCCCATTAGGCGCTGGGATTCGGAAGAAGGGGACCGGAGTTCGGCCATGGCTGCTTCTGGACTTGACTGGTGGAGCTCAGGTCGTTGAGGCCGGAAAACACGCGATTATGCGGCGGACCGGCCTGCCCGCGCGAGACCTCCGGATTCTCGATCCGATGCTCTCGTATCCATCTACGATTCTTGGCCGTGAGAAAGCGATTGTGATCAATTTGGAGCATATCAAAGCTATTATCACTGCTCAAGATGTGTTCGTGTTGAATGCTAGGGATCCGTCAGTTACCCCCTTTGTCGAGGAGCTTCAGAGGCGGGTTCTACGGCACTACCAAGCCACTAAGGCCGCTCAGGTTTCAATTCGAATCATTTTTTTAACCTAGTTCTTTGAATTAAAGCGTTTGTTCGTCCTAATTTTGTCAATTAACTATCCTCTCTTAGTGATAATTGGCACGCAACCTCAACTTAGAGTTCATAGGTTTGAATCCCCCACCCCAATTGCTGATGAACTCAAACGAGTTGGTGCTAGTGAAGAACTTTGGCTGGTTGAATTTAACTTAGATTGGAACTTTTCTTTGATGGATGAGATCTGTGTTTAATTTTCTGTAATGTTTTGAAGGAGGGCAATGGTGATGATTCCAGTTGGAGAAATCTCTATGACTTGGAGGAGCCACGATCCAGGGCTCAAAGTCCCCATAATCCCTATCAAGGATTTCCACAGGCTGAGGAGGAAGAGGGGAAGGAAAACGGTAAACAAGGTCTTGAAAATCGGGAGGGATTGAAGGTTCTACCGTTCGAGTTCGTCGCGTTGGAGGCATGCCTTGAAGCTGCCTGCAGCTGCTTAGAAAGTGAAGTAAGAATCTTTACATTTTTGTTTAGTTTGTTTAATCTTGTTCTCCTGATTCTATTTAGCACATTATCTTGTAACCAGGCAGATACGTTGGAGCAAGAAGCTCACCCAGCTTTGGATAAGCTGACTTCTAAGATTAGTACTCTCAACTTGGAACGTGTGCGTCAAATCAAAAGTCGATTGGTTGCGATAACTGGGCGAGTTCAAAAGGTTATTAGATTTTAGTCACTAGCATGTCACATTTCCTTATTTTGTGTGGTTTTGTAATTTCATCTTTGAGAAAATCTAATTTTCAGACGATGAATGAACATTTTTTACCTCCGTTTCTCGGGTTAAGAAGCACTGTTAACTTAATTTTACACGACCCTTTTGGTGGATTCGATGATTCTTTATAGGTGAGGGACGAATTAGAGCACTTGCTAGATGATGATGAGGATATGGCTGAGATGTACTTAACAGAGAAGATGGTTCAGCAACAGCTTGAGACCTCTTCCACTTCTTCAATTCGCGAGAGGGACGAAATGGACGATGATGTTCAGCAATTAGGCAAAGATGACAGGGATGACAGGTATGAGATTTGCCTCATGTCCGAGAAGGACAGACATCTACTCTATAATCGTAGTTTTACGAATTTCTGCATTTTTAAATAGCCTTTTGTTTTCAACTTTCTCAGTATTCCTGCTGAAATATCATTGGAAGGTGGTGGAAATTCTGCTAATTATGAAGGCAATATAGATGCTTCACAGGATCATTTATTTGGTGCATCAAATGTGGGCAGGGACAGCCATGGAACCCGAACAAGCACTACCCATAGCGCTGTAAGCAAACTCCTCGATGTCGAGGAGCTAGAGATGCTGTTGGAGGCTTACTTCGTGCAAATTGATGGTACACTCAACAAACTTTCAACGGTACGCAACATAAACAATGCGTTCTTTCATCTATGATTCTGCTTCTTTCAGCTTAATGGATTGTTTTCAGTTTATATGGAAAGAAAAATTGTGCTGCGTTCTAGTAGTAAATCTGATGAATAATAAGTCTTTTCGGGCTGTGGGAAACGGAATTTTACCTGTAGAAATGGCTAAACTAGTAGACAAACCTGATTCAAGGGACTATATTTTCGAGTCTGTTCAAAGATAGATCGTTTAAAATAAAAGTACAGAAGGATGATGGGTCAGAAACAGAGAAACAGAAAATGTAACAGCCCAAGCTCACCTCTAGCCGATATTGTCCTCTTTGGACTTTTCCTTTTGGGCTTCCTCTCAAAGTTTTTAAAACGCGTCTGCTAGGGAGAGGTAGCACCCTGATAGCAGATATGACTCTTTGGGCTTTCTCTTTTGAGCTTTCCCTCAAGAATTTTTAAACCCATCTGCTAGGGAGAGGTAGCCCACCGCTAGCAAATATTGTCTTCTTTGGGTTTTCCCTTTCAGGCTTCCCCTCAAGGTTTTTAAAATGCGTCTATTAGGGAGAGGTTTTCACACCCTTATAAAGAATGTTTCGTTCTCCTCCCCAACCGATGTGGGATCTCACAATCCACCCCCTTCAGGGCCTAGCGTCCCTGTTAGCACTCGTTCCCTTATCCAATCGATGTGGGATCCCCCAATCCACCCCCCTTTAGGGCTCAACATCCTTGCTGGCACACCGCCTCGTGTCCACCCTCCCTTTCAGAGCTTAGCCTCTTCGCTGGTACATCGCCCGGTGTCTGGCTCTGATACCACTGTAACGGTCCAAACCCACCGCTAACATATATTGCTCTCTTTGGGCTTTTCCTTTCGGGCTTCCCCTCAAAGTTTTTAAAATGCATCTGTTAAGGAGAGACTTCCACATCCTTTATTCGTTCTCCTTCCCAACCGATATGAGATCTCACAGAAAACTAGTTAAAAAAGCATCATCAAACGAAGTGTTAAATGTCTGATCAATATATTTGGTTGAAATGCAAGCCTACGTTGAACATGGCTTTTCCTTTTGCTGATGTCTTCTAACACGCTCTTTCATCTATCTTAAGCTGAGGGAGTATGTAGATGACACAGAAGATTACATCAACATAATGCTAGATGACAAGCAGAATCATCTTTTACAAATGGGAGTAATGTTGACAACTGCTACCCTTGTCGTGAGTGCTTTTGTCGTGGTAGCAGGTATCTTCGGGATGAACATCCATATTGAACTATTCGAACCAGAAAAAGCAGGCATGCCGGAGTTCATGTGGACTGTTGGTGGTGGCACTATGGGAACCATCTTCCTGTATGTCATTGCCATTGCCTGGTGCAAGCACAAACGTTTGCTCGAGTAGTTCGCCAAAACCGAAACTTTCTTGACAAAAAAACATATATAGATTAAGACAACCTTTAATACATCTAATGTGTTGAAATAAGTTGAAGCTTTTCCAAGCTGAATGCTCTGTTTCATACTGTTGGTCGATACAGTCTATTGTATATGTTGCATGGTTATAATAACTTATAACGCTAAATTTTGTACCCAAAACTTTAATGTCAAGTTATAAAGTATCTTTGAACTTTTCTTTTTTATTTAAAAAATACTTTTTATTCTTTTTAAGTATTCATTAATCATCATTAGGGTCATAACAAACTTATTAGAAGGTTGAATGATATGTCAATGTGGTAGAACATGTTTTTTCGATTTAGTCGGGCAAGTATCTCAGTTATTGTCAACTGTCAAATCGCTGTCATGGTTACACCATGGTTCTGTGTAGGTCATTAAGGAGGAAAAGTAGCTGCTGTTATTGACATCTGATTAAAGGAGAGCGGTACATGAATGAATGAATTAAGACTGAGAGTGAGTAATATGCATTTTCTTTTTTGTGGCTCAATCATAAGAATTTTAAAGTTAAGTATGCTTTTTTAGCTTTTTCATGGAGCAACCTTATGTTGGGTGACCTCTCGGTCCCTATTCTTGATACTCATTGTGATTGTATGTATATTTAACCCCTAACAACGAGGTTACTTATTGTATATTTTCAATACTTAACTTTTCTCAAAATATTGTCAGCTAAGAGCAAAGGCGTGCGTGCAAAGGCCGTGATTTAGAGGATTACTTGTTGTCATGGGTGATAGTTCACATGCTTGAATTTATTTTCCACATCATTTAGCTGTTTAATTTGAACTTACCTAGACATCATTCTAAAAAGGATACCAGTACAAAGTTGACTAGTTTCTAGGCGAATATGAGTTTGCAACATGCATATTTTCGTCTTTGCACGATAAATGATATAAGCATGCATATAATAACGAGACAGTCAGTCTGGGGTCTTAGAAAGTGAGATTGTTACGCACTCGATCATCTCTTTCTTCTTTACTAATTTCTCTTTTCATTCATGAATCTCATTTAAATTATTTATTGAGTTTCGAGGCACACCATCCATTTGTCGGACTCTAATACCATTTGTAAAAGCCCTAGCATACCGCTAGTAGATATTGTTCGTTTTAACATGTTACGTATAGTCGTCAGTCTCACAATTTTAAAATGCGCATGTCAAGGAGAAGTTTCCACACGTTTATAAGCTTCGTTCGTGTCTTGTGGGACCGAGGTTAAATAAAAAGAAGAGTTTATTAGAGGAGGGGATATGGACCAAGAAAGCCTCATCTGTTCATCAACCTCATCCACAACCCCAACACTCTCATTCCCATGAGCTCCATCGGCCAAAACATCCTGATGGCTCTCGCCCTCACTCTCAACCAATTCGCTTCCTCAAACGTTCAATCCGTCCAGAGAAACAAACCCAAAACGCCACCCACCACCGCCACCACCTCCGCCAGTTCCGACATCCAACGAAGAGGCCTCCTCTTATCTGCCGCCGTGGCCGCCGCCGTGGACTCCAGAACCGAGCTCCTAAAAAGTGTGCTGCATTAATTCTTCCCTCTGTGTTCCATTTTTTAGTGCTCGACTTTCGTTTGAATCCAAACATTTTATGTGTTGTTAGGGTACCTAAAGAAATCTGAAGAAAACAAAGAAAAGAACGACAAGGAGGTAGGTGTTTTTGTAATTTTAATTTGGATTTGATCAATGTTTTGAAATTTGTGTTATTGGGTTTGTAATTAACAGAGATTGGAGAGTTTCTACAAGCGAAATTACAAAGATTATTTTGAGTTTGTTGAAGGATCTTTGAAGAACAAGGATGAACTCTCTGAAGCTGAGAAAGGTATCATTGAGTGGCTTAAGAGAAACAAATAAATGAATTTCTTCCATCAATTATCATTTTAATGGTGGATCTCGTTCAATTTATCACTTTCACGATATAAAAGGAAAATTGCCATATTTACAAATATTCAAATTTTGCTATCTATTAAAATTATTCGTGATATTATTCAATTTGAGCTTATGGTTCATGAAGATCACTTTTGTACCAATGAAGTTCCTGTCCTAATGTAGATTTTTTAACATGAATGAACTAAGACTACATTTAAATGAAAGTGATCTTGAAGATAGGACGACTAAGAAAGACTTAAAACAATTAGAAGTGATTAACTGTCCCAACAATATGCACATTTCTTTTTGACGGCTCAATCATAGATAGACAATGTACTCATACAATTATTAGGCTCAACTCTATTCGGCTAGTGACGATATTTTGATGAATAGTATGGGCTTAACCCTATCGAGCCAGTGATGATATTTTAACAAATAGTTGCTAAATTGCTAAATGTGTTAGTGTTTCCCGGTAAATATTCATGAGATGTATGTTTGGTATATGCTTTATTCGCAACAAAAAGTGGTCATAGTACTCTTAGAGTGACGATAGAAAAAACTTTTGGAATGTGCCAAATTTATCAATATTTAACATTTTTCATAATGAAAATGAAAATATTAATCGAAACACCATTTTTTTCGATACTTATTCTCAATGACCCATTTGGGATTTCGTTTTAGTTCTTGTGTTAGGTGTTGGATGAAAGTCTCGCATCGACCAATTTAAGGAATGATTATGGGTTGAGACCTTGGGAAGCCTTAAACCAAAGTCATGAGAGCTTATACTCAAAGTGGACAATATGATCATACCATTATGGAGAGTCGATCAACTGATGTGGAATCTCATAATCCACCACCCCCTTCGAAGCCTATCGTCCTCGTTGGCACTTCGTCTGGTGTCCACACCCTTCGGGGTTCACCATCCTTGCTAGCACATCGTTCGGTGTCTGGCTCTGATACCATGTGAGATCACACATCGATTGGAGATAAGAACGAAACAATTTTATAAGAGAACCTCTCACTAGAAAAGGCGTTTTAAAAAGTTTGAGGGGAAACTCTAAAGGAAAAGCCCAAAGATAACAGATAGGTTTTTTATAATTGTTTGAATTTGTACCCCGATCCCATAAACTTAAACAAGACCCATTTGTATATTATTTCGATGTGTTTTTAAGTCGGGGTTATTTTTTGTTTTTAAATAGCCTAAAATTTTACATGTAAGACTAAATTTAGAAGATAATATATAGTCTAAAAACCTAAATCACCATCGCTTTCATAAAAATAAAAATAAAAAAACATTTTAATAGAGATATTATCCTTGCTTAAATCGAACGGATATTCCCCGATATTCCCCACTTTTCACTTATAGTAGGTCCCGAGGGTGGTTTGGCGGCCTTGACATAGATTCACATCTCCAAGTTTCTCAATTCTATCTCCTTGAGTCTAGTTCGATCCGGAGCACTAGAGCTACACCCTCTGATCGTCTCTCACGATTCTAATGCGTTCGGACTACTGGAGGCATTCCATCCTAGGTCATTGTCTAGCCAAATTGATGCTCACACCCGAGTGTTATTATATTTCCACTACTAACACTCTACAAGGAGAATCACACATTCAATCACCTACAATTATTGTACAGTAAATCATGTGTACAGTCACAAATGCTCTACGAGGCGATAACATTCATCAAGCATCTAGAGCGTAGACATACACAAATTTCTATTATTCGTTTTGACACGATTATTTATAAGCAGTTCGAAAATAGTCTATTACATGAGATGAGGAATAATTCAGTTATACCAATAACATGAGTGACTAATCTCATGCTTATCCAATCATCCTAGGCTATCCACCTTGGATTTTGTTTTACTAGCATGCATGCATTACCAAGCTATCCCAACAAGTGTTACTTTCTAGAATCCGTGTAGTTACTTACATGATTGTCGCGTGTTTTCTCGAGTTCGCTTTTCTTTTAGTAAGAGACTCTAAATTTTCTAAAAAACGCACCCGTAGGCCCTAATTCAAACATAATTAAGGTCCATATCTAAACCAAACAAAAATAAATAGATCAAAGGTTAAACAAAGCAAAAAGTAGTTACCATGCGTGGTTGGTAGCATTTTCACATGTGCAACCACGTGTTGTCAGTGCTCAACTCGAGCCCGGCTAATGAATCAGATAAAGTCAAGTCCAAACGATGCATCTCCACTGGAAACTTGACTCGTTGCTCCACCCATATTGTGATACATGTTGATCTTCTGTCTGAATAGCCATATTGTCATACGTGTTTTTCGTAAGCTATCGTATCCATTATTTCTTGTAGTGCCTTTCTCCTCCTGTCGCCGCATGTCCACTATGTAATTTGTCTTGTTTTCAACCTAATTTCTTATAATGTTTGTTTTCGTAACCTAATTTCCTAAGTTTCAATTGTAGATTGGTGAGAAATCACATCTAGGAACCGATATTGAAATTTTAATTTATATTTAAAATTCTTAGGCTTAATTAAAAGATCCTAATGTTAGATGAATACCCAGAGAGATAAACAAAACATTTTTTATAAGGATGTGAAAACCTCTTCTAATAAACTAGTTTTAAAAATTTTGAGGGAATACCCAGAAAGAAAGACATTGAACGATGAGTTAAAAGTTAAAAGGGCGTAAAAACCATAGATAGATTTGGTGGTATGCAGCTGGAATGTGGCAGTGGAAAACTGAGATGAGCAATGGAAGGTTATAGGGAGGGCCTGCAATGAGAGGGACAATGGCAGTCGGCAACCCAATATGTCCCGCATGGGTTTAAGGGTGTTGTCACCCCAAGCATAAACAACACACACAGCAACCAGCTGCTGCATGCATTTTCCTTGTCTTTGTCTTTGGCGGTGGTTCTAAAGGCAATCCATTTCTCGTCCATACTTCTTTAACTCTATCTGTCCAGTCTTATTCTATGCGCTGCATATCTCTCTTTTCTAACCCAACACTTTTATATTACTATGTTTGCTTCTTAGTTTTGTGCGTAAGTTTCGAGAAATTATCTATCGAAAATGTCATAACGAGACTGATAGTTTTGTATGGTTAGATGTAGAAGAGAGAAGTTACTAAAAAAAATAATCTTTGTGAGATCCGAGATCGGTTGGAGAGAAAATGAAACAACCTTTATAAAGGTCTAGAAACCTCTTCGAATTTGGTGGGGTCTCACATCGATTCGAGAAAGGAAAGAATGCCAGTGATAAAGCTAGCCCCGAAGGGGGTGGATTGTGAGATCCCACATCGGTTTAGGAGAAGAATGAAAACTTTTATAAGAGTGCGGGAACCTCCCACTAGCAGACGCGTTTTAAAAACCTTGAGAGAAAACTCAAATAAGACAATATCAGCTAGCAATGAATCTGACCGAGGACGAGTTTTAATGAGTCATGAATATATGACACTTTCTTCGTTGATATGATGCATTTTAGTAAACTTAAAAGTATATCGATCGGTCCAACACAGATTGAAATAGACAAGAATCTTTTGAAAAGGCAAAATTACTGTTTGAAATTTTGTCATTACTCATCAATCATTGGCTGACTTTCATTATTAATCTATTTTGAAGCCACTATTTTAAAACTCATATTGAAATTAATACTGCCAAATATATAAAATACATAAAAATATTATATATATATATATATCATTGAGCAGCTCCTTCCATCCTCCTCTGCATTTTGGATCAGATTACCCATCACCATGACACTTATCATCATCCTTTGTCCTTTTCAACCCTAAAGGAAGCATTTTATATATTGAATTTCAAAATATCTTACCTAACAATATTTTATATTTTGTCGTTTTCTTACTCCGACATATTTTGTCTCGAAATTTTGTGGGTCATATCGGTTTTCTTACTCCGACATGTTTGGTTCCAAAAATAATTTTGATTGTCTGTGGAGATAATTGTTTACTATGACTTTAAATTAGAAATAATATGACGAAAAATAAATAATGTGAATTTATATAAAATAAAGAAAAAAATAAAATAATGTCTTGATCTAACTTAAGGACATCTACCCTAACTTTAATCTTATGGTCATCCCTGCAATGTCGTCATTCATACATGGGTTTCTTACCTTTACTTGAAAAATAAGACTAAAACATGTCTTGAGTATTTTAATAACTAATTAGTAAGTAACCCACTGTTGGGGTCAAGAAATGTAATTACATGCAATATGATGGAACATATCATTTCAATCCGGACATGGTTGGATATGTAGTACTTTCCTACACACTACCCAACATGCACAAATGGACACACCAGGTGGGTTAGTAAACGTACCCCCTAAGTCTAGCTCGTTGAGTTAGCACACGCTCACGCTACCAGCCACCACGAAGGGAAATGACACACATAATATCATAAAAAACATAAATATCGTAAGATATGTATCCATACATTACATAACGATAAAGTATCTTGATGCATGTGACATACATACATGCATGAGGTCCCCATAGGTTAAAATCATGACATAAGTTTATGATGTAAGTCAAACCTCCATTCAATCATGATAGAACGAGCTATGAGACATGTATACATAATACTTGCCATAAATTTCATAGTTGACATAATTTACATGTCGTTGTTTATGGAGGTTTATGCATCATAAATCATCGAATCATAAATATGATCCTTCAACATGGCATAATCATATTATAGCATAACTCATAACATAATATAGCATAACATAACATAAAATAGCATAACATAACATAACACATATCAAACAATGATAGTCATGATACATGTAGGAGTCATGAGGCACACATCATCATATGTCATACAATTCGTCCAACCAAGCCAACAATGAAGTCAATTACTTGATGCGTACGACGACTGAGACTAATACTAACCGCACCGAGTTGGAGCCGTTGAAGCCAAGTCGAGCCATCGGTGAAGAAAGGCATAGGTCGCAATGCCGAGTTGAGGCGGGTGCGCAAGTTCAATTGCGGGTTAAAGGGATAAGGTGTGCGTGGGTTGAGTTTTGGGTCAGGTCGGATGCATGGGTTGGAGCAAGATTCTAGGTTGCGTGCGGGCTGGGATATTGACTACTTGGCCGAGGTGGGTTGAAGGCGTACTAGGTCGAGGTGAGCTGAGGGCGTGAATGGGTTGGGCTGGACAGTGAGGGTCTAAGTCTGGGCTTTGTCCTTACTCACATTCATTCTAAGAAAGTTCTCATGAGGTCAACTAACATAGAGCTACTCCAAGCAAAACACGTTTAACCATGAAGTTTCCATGTGTTAAGGATATTTAATACTAAATTATAGTTTATCGTATATATCATCTTTGATATTTTATTTAGACAATTATCATATGTATCTTTCCATTTATTACTGTTTACATATTTTTTTTGTAATATTTCCATTTATTAGTATTTCCATATTTTTGTAATTTATTTTGATTATAAATAAGAGAACTTTCACACCCGTGGATTAAACAATCATTCTCATGTTATCAAAGCCTTTTCGGTTTAACAACCCCGATCATTTTTTTTTAATGACTTATGAATGTTTTACGATTCTTCTCCACCACCACTGCTAGCTTTGACGCCGCAGGGGCAGTCGTCATGGCTGCCACAAGCGGAGCCAATTGATTACTCTTCGAATCCACCTTTTTGACCTCCAAATCACCCTTCTCCATACTCTGTACATACAACCTCATCTTCTCCAACACAATCAGTTTTCCCTTACCCAACATAACCTCTCTCATCTTCTTCCCAATTGGCCCTTCATCCTCATGAGAAAAATAACCCTAACCTCAGAATCCTCATGAGCGTTCACATTGAAAATATACAGAATCTCAAGAAACCTATCGACCTTATGCAGATATTTACCTTTGGAATCTGGACGCTGCACTAGCCTCTTCGCCAACCAAGTTGCCGCCGCCCCCTGTGGCGACTCTTTCGGCTTCAACATTGTCTTTGTCCCTTGCTCTAGGTTTCCCCCTTCTGCTTCTTGGGTTAGAAATATTATCACCGGAGCCAAGGCAGCATCGTCGCTGAGCGACGATCCCTCTTCATGGGTTAGACATATTCTCACTGGAGCCAAGGCAACATCGTCGCTCAGCGACAATCCCTCTTCATGGGTTAGACATATTCTCACCGAAGCCAAGGCAACATCATTGCTAAGCAACGATTCCTCTATAGTTTTCGATGGGCAAGAAAGTGTTTCTCTATGCCTCCTCCAAACCAGGTTGTTGATATCTTCACGAAAAGTGTTTCTCGACCTCTTTTTGAATTTTTTAGATCCAAACTTCACGTTCGTTCAAATCCGACACTCGTTTAACCATAAAGTTTCCATGATTGAGTCATCAAAAAGAAAGGTGCACCTTGTTGGTATATGTAGTAACTTTCAATTTTATTAAGCATTTCTTTATTATCCTATCTTCAAGATCTCCCTTATTCGAATGTGGTGTCGGTTTATTCATGTACCTCTCATTTACTCGAGTGTCACATGTTGGTTGTTTTCATCACTATATGGTTGTACACTCAGGGATTTACTAGCTAAGTTCTTGGATAATCTCCTCATCCTCTCTCTCGGCAACGTCCCCTTTTTCTCCCTTGTTGTGGTGTGTTCTCCCTCTACGAACTAACCTCTGGGAGTGGTTGCTACTAAGAGAGAAAAACATCAATTAAGGAGTTCGTGGGTGGTTGCTTGGAGCTACGAAAACTTGAACGCCCCTAGCTGATCATTCTTATGTTCAACTCGACCCGAATTCAATTTCACCTATAATATTTCATTCATTCATAAAATCAAGTTTAGACCTATTCATGGAGCCAACACTACTTAACTAACCCATTCGGGATGTTGTTAATGGTCCAAATATATAGCTATAATGGCCTTCAATGGTCTTAATCAGAAAGAGAAAGATCATCATAAAAGTGGAAGATCAAATGTAAATAGATCTATAGACAAGTAAAAGAAATCAAAGATAAACACAAATTTTATCATAGAAGTATGCTAAAAAAAAACACCGTTGCTTCTCAATCTCTTCCTCTTTCCAAACATGTTCATTTAGTACAGCAATAATTGTCATATTCTCAGTGCCACGTGGCTACAGCAAAAGTAGTACAATCCATCGACAAGAAATTAAATGTCCAAAATAAAAACTTTTCTATATCCACTCCTGATTATCATAATCTCTCGTTAGAGGTATTTTATTAACTCGAACATAACTGAACCAGTTAAGACATATATCTCCGTTTAATAGATCAAAGATTTAATCTACAATCTCCACTTATCGCTAAACATAAAAGATAGAAAAAAGTGACATCATTGATAAGCAAATCCCATCTACTTCAATCCCGACCTCTTCCCATTGATCTGCCTACATTGAGTAGAAGTAGATTAAAAAAAAAACGAGTTTAGAATTAAACCATAAATATTTGAATGAAAATCGATATAAAACGTCGTATCTTTCGAAACTTTAATTATACTCTTAGAACTTCAAATATACTCGAAACTTTCTAAATTGGCTTAACTGATTCTTCTGCCTTTGATTTCCAGATGGGTTTTGGCAGCTGGTCGAGCTCTCCTGAATTTTAAACCAAAATTAATCAAAATAATTTCAAATTTTAAAAATTAAATAAAACTTTAAAAATTAAAAAGTAATAAAAATTCTCTACCGAATTATGGAAGTTGAAGTTGGGATCAGAGCTAGCAGTGTCATCAAGAAACGACGCCGTTTGCTCCGGCCGCCGTCGGCCGTCACCGCCCTTCATTTTCCGGCTACCTTTCGAGAAAAGTGTGGGCGTTGTATCACAAAAGCACCGACCAGATTCATTTTCCGGGAAAACAGGTTCATTTTCCCGGAAAATTGGAGGCCCAGAAGAAGCATCAGAAAGCATAGACAAATCCAGTTCTTCATTTTGAATTCTTGGAGTAAACAAGGAGGAGGAGGAATCCTCCAAGTACACAGTCCAACCAGATTCCACAGACCCATTTGAAGAAACAAACAAATTATGGCGATGATCCATAAGAACAATAAAATTTTGATTTTCCCACTTCCCAAACAGAACATAAACAAAAAAAGATTTGATTTTTGATCGTAATTGGAATAGAATTGAAGGGGGTTTTGTGTTTTTGGTGGGGATTTTGATGGGAATGGATGGAAAGAAGGGAGGGACAAAGAAAGGCAGAATATGTTGAGATGGTAGACAGCAAGGGTTTGTGTACCCAGTTAACAAAACCAAGTAAGGGCATACATGATCATCTACTTTGGACTTTAGTGAATAGTTATTAAGTGTGCATACACGACACAACCGACTTGCTTCTACACTAGGCCAAGTCATTCGGTTCGACCTTGCCTCTACTTAGGGTCAAGGTCTCTCAATACAACATTGCACCCCATCATCTCATCTTGGTTTCCAACAATACGACCCATACATCTTGATGTCATCTCATGTCGTAGGATAGCTCGGTCATCTTGGCTTGCTCAGATACATCCGTTGGAAATAGACCCATGTGTCGACCATCTCAATAGGACATTTGAAACATCCCTCCATCTGAGTTCTCATTGAGCATTGGACTCTTATGTGTTCATGCTAAACCATTTACGACATCTGTTCCGAATAGTGGGTGTATAATCCAACCTCTGACACATGGGCTAGGGCGCAATATCGGCACACCCGTGTCATCTGGTACTGTCCTTGAATGATCCTTTTCAAAGGAAGACACTCGTCCTGCAAGGCTCGCCCACGTTGTGACACTGTGCTGCAAGGTACCTCACTTAGGTCACATTGCCCAGGGGTGGTGGGTAGCTGACACCATGTCTCTCCCTAACATACTAAGACATTTTCATTCCTCCTAGTGTAGATGTCATTTTGGTGAACGGTCATACAGTGTCGTAGAGCGTTTGTTCCATGTTCGATTGACACCAAATTGGTGAGCATTCATATTTTATATGGACGGACTTAACTCCGGAACCCTGACTTTTGAGGTTAAGGCTCGAGGCCCTACCCGACTCTTCAACAAGCCTATCTTTGACTCGTGTCTACTCGTAGCCCTTATCTTACTTATGTCTCATCTTCTCCTCAATGCCCACTATGTGTGGTATGTTAGATAATGCACATTATTTCTTGGTCCCATCATGACACTCGTTTAGGCCCTCGCGTAGCCAGATGGGCGCAACTTGGGAGTTGTAGCTTTGCTTGTCACAACTTGAAGGTCACTATCTACTATCTTCATAATAAAGTTATGACACCTTGCGGTTACCATGATAGCTCAAGACGATGACAAGGTCACGATGATGGCAATGCTCACGCAAACACCTATGATCACCCACGTAGATCTCTAGTTATGACAACACCTACGCGTATGCCAGTGGGTCATTGCTTCTCCTCATGCGACCTGGGCTAATAACCATTGGAGCGTGATTTAGGTTGGTTATGTTGACTTAAAGAACTTTAATAGAGTTCATAACTCAATCCATCTCAACCCAAATCTCTATTTTTGGGTTGTGTTGGATTGTCGTGTTTTTAAATGAAAAAAGATTCTAATTATATGCACGCTAACTTATAATTAAAATTTCATAAAATTCAAATATCGAACATTTATCAGTCGTAATAACCTATCATTAACATTGATTAGAGTTCGTAATAACCCATCATTAACATTGATTAGAAACATTAAATATTTTTAATCTTTTTAAAAGTAGAATTGGGTCAAAGTGTAACCCTATTTTCAAGTTAGTCCAATCATCCAACCAAATAATATTCACCCTCAAACCAAACTAAAATTTCAATTTTCCAAAATTTCAACTCAACCCAATTTTTTTAAAATCTAACCTAACCCAATTTTATCTATGGTTGAATTGTTTAATGCCAGCCTCTTAACTAGTTAAAACTAATATTTTTGATAAAAAAAAAAGATAGCGGTTCATAGCAAGTTTTATGTAAATAATCAAACTAAACGCTCAACAGTAATTGACATGTTATTCCTTTGATATTAGAGGTTTAACCTTTACAATCCACCTTTGTTATATTAAAAAATACTTATGTTTCCATAACTACATTTAACCCTACAACACACAGAGTATAGTGTTGAAATATCATCACTAGCCCAATAAAATCAAGCCCAATAATTGTACCAGCACATTGTATATTTATTTTAGTAGAAATTTTACGGAAAGATATCTGATTTTAGTAGAAGAGATCTATATATTTTAGAAAAAAAATTCAGATTTGTTAGATTTAGATTTGTTAGGTCTAGATTGAGTAGACTCTCTAGTATAAATACACCTCCACCTACTTAGATTATTCATCCAAGAAATCCAAAAAGTATTCTAACTCAATGTCTTGTATTATCTTCTCGATGGATCTTAATAAAGAGTGCGAGTGTTTCCCATCGAGAGTTGTGTTCAACACAGTTCAATGAGCTCGTTGAATTAATATAGACAAATAACTTAAATAATAATAAGGTAAAACCTTTTCATATACATCTTATTCTATGTATGGTTACGATAATATTGGTGGATTTAAGCAATAAAAGTCTTTGGTTTTGACGTCAATCCACTTGAAATCTTTGTCTCAAAAGGGATTTATAAAAGGAAATTACAAAGTGGTTTCAAAGAGAAAGAACAGAGATGAGTTTTCACGAGCAGCACCCTCCTCCTGTTGGGGTTCCTCCTCCTCAAGGTATCCTCTAATTTATTCTTTTTCGATTTTTTTTTTTAGTTCAAATACTTATTATCGTTTACTATATGATTCGATCAACTCGAATTATCCAATTCAAACTATAAAAAGTTGGGTTAGATTACTTTTCTTTTTATTTTTTATTTTAATGTAAACTATAATCCGAGTGGTTCGGATCAGAAATCTAAACACCTCAAAATTTTAGTGGAAAAATTTTAAATAAAATAAAATTTTAGTTCTTGTAACGGCTCACGTCTACTGCTAACAGATATTGTCATTTTTGGGCTTTCACTTTCGGGCTTTTCCTTTTCGTCTTCCTCTTAAAGCTCTAAAACATGTCTACTAGGGAAAGATTTCCACACCCTTATAAAAGGGTGTTTCGTTCTCCTTCCCGACCAATGTGAGATATCACGCTTCTCATACTTAAAATATATATATATATATATATATATGTATATATAATTATGGTTAAATTATGAACAAATAAAAATAAATATTAATTGGAGTAGAAATTAATGTTTAAATTGGATTTTTGTTTGGGACATGATGCATATATAAACTATTTATCCACACGAAGGGTATCCTCCGGGAGCATATCCACCGCCATCATGTCCTCCTCTACATGATAATCCAGGACAAGGACATCCGCAACCCAATTCTGCATATCCTCCACACGAATACTCTTATGGCGATTCTTATCCTTCACAAGGATATCCTTATCCCCATCCCTACCAAGGTTACCCTCCACAAGGATACCCACCCCTACAATACCCTAACACAAACCCTCAAAATCAATGTACCTATGTCGTGGTTCAATCCCAACAAACCTATAGTTACTGGGAAAGCTGGTAAGTTTCGTTCTCCTTTTTATCTCATAGTCGAGAACTCGAAAATATATTGAACTATCCAACTCGATCCAAGCTACAGTTAGGTCACTAATGTAGTTGGATTGACTTGAGTTTTCATAAGTCGAATCTCGATTTCAATTGAGCTTGTTTCTCGAGCTTTTGATTTCCGTGTAGTTTCAGTTACAATATCATTCTGGTTCCTGTACTTTACTTCGACCCTCTTGGTTTAAATTGAAACTTTGGCAGCTTGGCTCTCATTTGTTGTTGCTGCCTTTGGAATCTTGGGCTTGGATGTCTCTATTGATGAAGAGCTTGAATGGTATTCCATTCAATGAAAAATGGAAATAATTGTGTATTTAATTTTAATAATTTGTGTATTAAGGCGGGTCATGATCGTGTCAAAATTGCTCTTATATATCTATAGTAATGTCACAAATATTAAGTGACCGAGTACGTTTAACTCAACTTTTAGAACATTCACAATTTCGAACGAAACCTAGACTTTCGACTAAGAGAAAAACTCAACGATAAGTTACAAAACACAATAGTAAAACTAGTGTGAAAGCTTGCCACGGAAGAGAAAAACTGAATGATAAGTTGAATTATTGAGTGTTTATACTGTTAGACGAACACGACTCCCCACAATGGTATGATATTGTCCACTTTGAGCATAAGCTCTCATGGTTTTGCTTTGGGCTTCCCAAAAGGCCTCATACCAATGGAGTTAGTATTCCTCACTTATAAACCCATGATCATTCCCTAAATTAGCCGATGTATCATCCAACACCTCCCGTCGAACAAAGCACGCCTCTCCTTAATCGAGGCTCGACTCCTTTGGAGTCTTAGTCATTTTTCACTGCCTCATACCTTCGAGGAGGCTTGACTCCTTTTTTCTTTTTTGGAGTCCTTTGTTCGACATTCGAGGATTTGCCAATCTATTGGCACGGCTAAGTTTAAGGCATGGCTCTGATACCATGTTAGACGGACACGACTCCCCACAATGGTATGATATTGTCCACTTTGAGCATAAGCTCTCATGGCTTTGCTTTGGGCTTCCCAAAAGGCCTCATACTAATGGAGTTAGTATTCCTCACTTATAAACCCATGATCATTCCCTAAATTAGCCGATGTATCATCCAACATATACGACCCTAGACTTTCGACTAAGATCTCGAGATAATCTGATTTGAATAAATTTTAGAGGAGCTATCATACTTGAAGTATTTTGAGGACTAGTCTGTGAAACCCGCTCATTGAAAGTTTGAATCACGGTTGTAACTATCGATGTAGGTTATATTTTAAAAAAAACATACCAAAAAGCAAACGGTTCTTTAAATAAATAAAAACATGTGCAAGTGTAATTCACCTAAAATGTACATAAAACTAGAAAATATTTAAAAACAGACTCAAGTCGAGATGAGATTTTTTGAAGTCTCCAACTTAGTTGTATCATAGTCTCGGTCACCCTACGTCAGACTTATCTAGAAAGAAGAACGTAAATTAATTTGATGAGTAAATTAGATTACTCCGTAAGTAGCTAAGTTGTCCTTAACAAGTTATATTGACTATCTTTCTGGGTTAATTCTCAAGTTTTTTTTTATCCCGTGGTTCCAACTTTCATTTACTAGGACCGGTTGTTCGTTAAAAGGTATTCAGACTAACTTCAAGCTTAGACTGTTGGCTCTATTTATTCGTAGACCCATCTACCTGAACTCTCTAGCGGCTTGTAATATCATATAATTTGACGGTCAGAAATACTCATTGCTCCTAATTTAGCACACAGCGTGTTGCTCAAGAATTTTGCGGAGATTAGTAGACTAAAGATACTCGTAAAGAGCTCGTAACCTAATTAACTCATAAACATAAACCAGAGTCATACAACCTATATTTCCATTTCGAATTTGAATCTGACACACATCTTATGCAGGCATTCTTGGATATCATGAATTACATATATAAAAAAAAAAAAAAAAAAAGTTAAAGAACTCGTTTAAGAGTTTCAATACACCACTTAGCTAACTCCTTTCTTCTCGTTATTTACTCTAAATAGGGTAATTTTATCACAATTTCTCGGACCTACATGTCACAATTTCCAAGATAAATATAGTTCAATTTTATAAAATAGGTCAAAAGGAGTCGAACTGGACAAACCGAAGTCAAATATGGGATCACATGTGTTCTTTGATCCTATCACACCCTCACTAGCAGCCACGCTAACCTGACCATATTGCAAGGGGATGCAGGGGAGTTGTAACCACTGAGGCCCACCACTAGCACATATTGTCCTCTTTGGACTTTCTCTCTCAGGTTTCTCCTCAAGGTTTTAAAATGTAGGGAAAGGTTTCCACATTATAAAGGTAGTTTCGTTCTCCTCCACAACCAATGTGGGATAACACAATCCACCCCCCTTCGAGGCCAGCGTTCTCATTGGCACTTGTTCCTTTCTTCAATCAATGTGGGACCCCACCAAATCCACCTCCTTCGAGGCCCAACGTCTTTACTGGCACATCGCCTTGTGTCTACCCTTTTTGGGGAACAACCTCCTCTCTGGCACATAGTCTGATGTCTAGTTCAGATACCATTGTAACTTTGAAAAACACGTTTTAAAGCCTTGAGGGAAAGCCTAAAGAGAACAATATCGGCTAGCAACGCCCATTGTTTCAATATACAAAAGGTTTGAAAATTATAATTAAAAAAAGAAAAGAAAATAAGGGTCAAAATTTTCAAAATAATATTATATTCCATAAAATTCCAATCCAATATTATTGCAAGTCAATAATCTTGTCACTTTCTTCATTTTTTTTCCTTTTTTTTTTTACTATATAATAATGATTAGAATAAAGTGTAAAGATCTTCACAAAACAAAATCAAGGGATTCATTTTATTTTTATAAAAAAAATTATTATTTGGAAATAAAATTTTTAAACCTTAAAATTCAGAATTTACTTCATATATGTTGAAACTAAATCTCACTTCAAAATTTTCAAAAATTAATAGAAGTATACTTCATTTTTGTATTTTATTTAAAAATATTAATAATACCTTAAATATATTTCCGTATGAACAAAGGTGAGAAAATAGAGAATGAAGGTGATCCCGAGGATAGAAAATCAAAGTGAGAAATGATTTATAAGGTAATAAACGATGTAAAAATCAAGGAACCAAGACCAGATATGAACGAAGGTGATCCCGAGGATAGGATGAATAAAAAAGACCTAAAAGATCTGAAAATCACTACTTATAACACTGAGGTGCACATTTCCATTCGATGACTTAATCATATGAACTTCATATTTAGATGTATTTTACTTTAAAAATCACGACTCTTCACAATGATATGATATTGTTCATGAACATAATTTACTCAAAAAAAAAAAAAAAAACATGATTTTCATAAAGCATCATAATCAAAATAATAATGCAGCCACGTGGTTTAGGTGTATATGAAGATGGGCTGAGCTGTAAAATCAACATCTAATCATGTGTGGTGCGCCCCACCCATTTTATTGTACGTTTTCTTTATTATTACCGTCAAAGTTAATCTAAATATTTCAATGCATCTGGACCGTTGATTTTTATGCCTAGGTCGCTGACGTGGCAGTATTAGTTTCTTTGATGACCGACATTCGTTTTATTATACAAATTTTCATAATCTCCCAATAAAATTAACCTTTAAATCTTTTCAACATTTATTTGTTTTATAATCCTTACATTTTTTCTTTTTTTTTTCTTTTATTTGGAATATTTGTAAAACTAAATTGATAATTTAATTTAATTTAATTTAATTTTAAGTTTTTTAGTTTACTTTGTAATAAATCTAAATAATTATTCTAAAATAAATGATTTAATAAAATTATATAAACTTCTAATAGTACATATTTAGTCCATTTGTATTTTTAAAAATTAGTGGAGTAAATTATATTAAATGAGATATACTTATAAATCTTATATTTTATAATAATTTATTAATAAAACAATAATATATCTTAAAATTTAATCTAATTTTTATTTATTAATAAATATATTATAAATAATATGGTTAAGTATTTGAGTTTGTAGAACCATTAGTATTAATAATTATTTTTTAATAAATGATTTTAATAAAATCATACAAAACTTCAAACATATAAAAAAAAATTTATAAACACGGTTAGTTAGACGAATGACTCTCCAAAATGATATGATATTGTACACTTTGAGCATAAGCTCTCATGACTTTGCTTTGGATTTACCAGAAAGTCTTTACCTCGAAAGAGTATTATTCGATTATAAACTCATATCATTTTCTAAATTAGCCGATGTGAGACTTTCATCATCCAACACCTCCCCTCAAACAAAATACGCCTCCCCTTAATCGAGGCTCGACTCCTTTTCTTTTAGAGTCATTTGTTCGATATTTGAGGATTTACCAATCTATTGGCACGACTAAGATTAGGGCATGGTTCTAATACTATGATCATGAATTTATGATCAAAGAAGACTCTCTTCATTGGTACGAGGCCTTTTGGGGAAGCCCAAAACAAAGCCATGAGAGCTTATGCTAAAAGTGGACAATATCATACCATTGTGGGGAAGAGTCGTGTTCGTCTAACAACCGTTACACGATTATTTTTGGATGAAAACGTTAATACTTTAACTCTAAAAATTCACTTTCAAAAGTGTTGAAAATAAAAGTTTTCAAAAGTTTTATTAATACTCTTCAACTTTTTAATAAACATTTAAAAGTACATAAAAAAAAAGATAATTTATGAAGGGTTGATAGATGAATTTTGTCTATAATTTTTTTTTAAAAAAAATGAATGATGATGTTAATCATATTTTTAAAATTTTATGAGTATTTTTTTTTAATAAATATACCTCGGAAAATATTATTTATATTATCAAAAAAAAAAAAAAGTTAAAAAGGATATTAACGGAAAATTATTTAAAGTATTTTTTTTCTATTAATTTAGTTAAAAAAAGTTTAAGAATATAACGAAATTCGTTGTAAACTACTAACGTAAGATTTAAAAGTTTGAAGGAGGGAATATAAAGAATTCAAACTCGAAAAGAAATAAAAAAGAAAATAAAAAATCCGGACCCAAATTAATTCTTTATTCAAATAGTTTTCATAGTTATAGCTCTCTGGTTTCTCTGTTTGGCTACTAATAAAATCCATCCGATCGCTCAAGAAATCTCCGAGAGAAAGAAGCGGAAGAAAATGAGTTACTACAACCAGCCTCCGCCTCCCGTCGGCGTTCCTCCGCCGCAAGGTAACATCTAAACCAATGCTCTTAGTTCTGATGCTTTTTCTTGAATTCCTAAGGTTCAAATCGAACGGATCGTGCTGTATTTAAGTAAAAAACGGTCTACTCTTTGTTTTCGTCTCGCTTTCGCGCTTCGATTTGAACGGATCGTGAATGTCGACGATTTTAGGTTATCCGCCGGAAGGTTATCCGAAGGACGCTTATCCGCCTCCAGGACATCCGCCGCCGGCTGGTTATCCTCCTGCTGGTTATCCACAGGCAGGATATCCGCCTCCGGCTTATGGACCGGCGTACGGTCAACCTCCGCCTCAATATCAACAACAACGGCAGGAAGTTGGATTCCTCGAAGGCTGGTAAGTATTTGCTTCTATTTCATTTTGATCTTCCTTGATGCGATTCAAACTGCGTTTTTCGAAATGAAATTGAGGCGATGCGTCTTTACGGTTAGAAAATAGAGAATGAATCGGTGGTTTTGCGGAGGAGATTGTTAGTTTAGGAAATAGTGTTTGTGTTGGCTTGTAGTGTTAGTGGATTGATTGCTGTTTTGGTGTTGAGGAATTTGGAAACCGTCGAGTCGTAAAAACTGACACAGGTTGGAAAGATATTGCTCACATGAACAGAGGCGCAGATTTCGGTGATTTGTCGAACCCTTTTTCGTTTCGGTGGAACAAAAAGTGCTTTTCGTTTTCTTTCTTTTTCAAACAAAAAATGCGTTCCAGAAGGGTCTTTTTGTCATTTTCAAAAATTTTGAATTTTGTGATTTATTTATTTAAACCTCAATTTTTTGAAATGAAAATTTTAGACTAACTATACACAAAATTAAAATTAGTTTCGGTGCATTTTTTCGAGTACGTAGAACTAGATTCGAGCAATTTTAGAGTTAAACTTAGAGATGTCCACTAGACATCTGCCCTGGTCCATAGTCTCCACTTATTTTAATTTTCATCCCGTAAATTTCTCGATTTATTTATTTTTTCATTATAATTTCTATTAAAAAAATGTAAAACATCGGAATAATCTAATAAGCACAAAACACCCGAATTCCAATATTACAATAAATCTAATAAATCTCTAGCCCTGTTTAGCTGAACTCTCGTGTTCATAGTTCATAATTAAATAAAGATTTTTACTATAAAAAAATTGGAATAGGGAAGATATAAGAGAAGTGTAGTTTAGAAGTAATTAAAAGTGTGTGTGAAATTGACAGTGTGGCTGCTCTCTGCTGTTGCTTCGTGTTGGATGCTTGCTTTTAAGGACAGAAGCAGGAAGCTTTTTGTGAGTGAGTGATCATATGGTGTATGAAATTTTAGTTTAATATCCAATGTCGCAATGGCTTTATCTCTATCTTTATATTCTTATTTATACCAACTCTATTTAAATCTCTTCATATTTCTTGAACCTTGCTCCTCAACTATATATATATACATTTTCAGCATTTATTATCTTCAATTTACATCATTTTTATTATTATTGTTTCTTTTGTGCTATGCTTTTCACTAGTGCATGTCTCAAGCAATGAGATGTATTCGAATGCAATAAAAATTAAATTTAATGTCTATGGTTCAATGTACGTTGTTAACATAACTTAATTCTGCATAATTGAGCATGTCGGGTTGACGAATTGTTAGGTGAGAAATTCCATATCAACTAATTAAAGGAATAAAAATAGAGTCATGAGAGATTATATTCAAAGTGAACAATATCATGTCATTTTAGAGGTCTGTGATTCAACAACATGGTATCAAACTCATGCCCTTCTCTTAGTTAACCCAATAAAATCCTTAATGTCGAACAATTGTTCTAGAGCTCTAGAAAAAGGAGCCGAGTCTCGATTAAGAAAAAAAAAAAAAAGAAGAAGAAAGAGAGTGTACTATAACGGACTAGTATTCAACACGAATAGAACTTAAAAGGTTGAACACGGTGATAAGGACCATTGATGTGGTTGATTGCTATTTTTCTTGCTCTTATTGAATTTTCTCTTTCTCTCATTGGGCAAGCACAAGATTATATAATAAATCATAGGTCCAAAAACAATATCCTTAAGATAAAC